GATCGTCGGTGATGATCTCCTTGTCACTAACCCCAAGCGTATCCAGAAGGGTATCGAGGAGAAGAGCGTGAACGCTCTCCTTCTTAAGGTCAACCAGATCGGTTCCGTCACTGAGTCCATCGAGGCCAACAACAAGGCTGTCGATGCCGGCTGGACCGTCATGGTTTCTCATCGTTCCGGTGAGACTGAGGATACCTTCATCGCTGATATCGTTGTCGGCCTCGGCACTGGCCAGATCAAGACTGGTGCTCCCTGCCGTACCGAGAGGTTGTGCAAGTACAACCAGCTCATGCGTATTGAGGAGGAGCTTGGTGCCAAGGCTTCCTTCGCCGCCGGCAAGAACTTCCCTCGTTGCCAGTAAGTCTTTCTGAGATGCACCTAAGTGCTCTCAGTAAGTCATTACTAGTACTATTTTCGGGTATATTCCATTGGTATATGATATGCGAGTATTCTTACCAGAAAAGTTTACAACCTAACAGCTTTGCACGTGTTAAGTTGTCAATTCAAAGTGATGAAGAGATGCTTCGGGTCTATGTGCATGCGTGCATGGTTGGGCATGCGTGCAGGGAGTAGCCCGTAGCTAATTGTGCTTTCTCTCGCCCTCAAGTTCGTTGGTGCGTTGTCATCTGTAACCTTCTTCGGACATGTCAAAGATCATCTCTGTGAAAGCTCGAGAGATCCTCGATTCCCGTGGTAATCCTACTGTGGAGGTGGACCTTGTTACCGACAGGGGCATGTTCAGGGCCGCGTGCCCTTCCGGGGCATCTACTGGTGAGTTTGAAGCCCTCGAACTTCGTGATGGCGATAAGAAACGTTACGGTGGCAAGGGAGCTCAGAAGGCTGTGGCTAACGTGAATAAGATCATTGGTCCGGCCATTATTGGGAAGGATCCTACTGACCAAGCTGGTATCGATAAGCTGATGGTTGAAGAGTTGGACGGTACTCAGAACGAGTGGGGCTGGTGCAAGGCTAAGCTCGGTGCCAACGCTATCCTGGGAGTTTCCATGGCTGTCTGTCGTGCCGGTGCCGCCGCTTCTGGCATGCCTCTCTATCAGTACATTGCCAAGCTCGCTGGCAAGGACACTCAGAAGTTCACTATGCCGTGCCCCTGCTTCAACGTCATCAACGGCGGCAAGCACGCTGGTAACCGTCTGGCTTGCCAGGAGTTCATGCTTGTTCCCTGCGGTGCCAAGTCCATCCATGAGGCTATCAGATTTGCCGCTGAGGTCTATCACGAGCTCAAGTCCGTGATCAAGGCCAAGTACGGTCAGGATGCAACCAACGTTGGTGACGAAGGTGGGTTCGCTCCGTCCATCCAGGATATGGATGAGGCCCTCAAAGTGCTAGAGGAGGCCATCAAGAAGTCTGGCCATGAGGATACCTGCCGTATTGGTTGCGATTTCGCCGCCTCTGAGTGCCTCGACAAGAAGAGTGGCAAGTATGATCTCGACTTCAAGAACAGTAACCCGCATCCCGAATCCGAGAAAACCGGGGATGAGATGGTCTCGTATCTTGAGGCTCTTATCAACCAATACCCTTTCGTATTCCTGGAGGATCCCTTCGATGAGAACGACTGGGCAACCTTCGCCAAGTTCACCGCCAAGGATGGTAAGGATATTCAGATCGTCGGTGATGATCTCCTTGTTACCAACCCCAAGCGTATTCAGAAGGGGATCGACGAGAAGGCTTGCAACGCCCTTCTTCTTAAGGTCAACCAGATCGGTTCCGTCACCGAGTCCATCGAGGCCAACAACAAGGCCGTCAACGCAGGCTGGACCGTCATGGTTTCTCATCGTTCCGGTGAGACTGAGGATACCTTCATTGCCGATCTCGTCGTCGGCCTCGGCACTGGCCAGATCAAGACTGGTGCTCCCTGCCGTACCGAGAGGCTATGCAAATACAACCAGCTCATGCGTATCGAGGAGGAGCTCGGTGCTAAAGCCCATTTCGCTGGCGGTAAAAACTTCCCTCGTTGCAAATAAAAGGACTGCCGAGGTTCGATAAGCTTCCTTCTCTACTGCACCAACCAATCTGTTATCAAGATTATTTTGTTGAGAATGTCGAGTGTCATGAGGAAATGTTGGTTACCGAGCACTTCGTTGCTCAGGTCTTATGATCAGTACCAGAATCGTCGTTTGAGTATTTCAACCTACGACAATTGAGTTGTGTTGTTAGTATAATCTTTTTCAACAACTTTTCTTAACAAAACACATGGTACTGAAATAACCTGCGGAAGACTGAACGTTTTAAGTAGATATAATTTCCTTCTTTACTTCCGACATCGATTGTGAGAAGAGCTCCTTCATCATCCGATCTGCACTAGTCTGAACACAACAAGAGTGAAAACAAGATTGATTTTACTGAACCTTACCTGATCGATCCAGTCTCCGGGCGTGGCTATCCCAACGTTTATGCGATCGTTATACGAGATGATGCACAGCATTGGACCTGATAGTCAGAGACACCGGCAACCAGTTCGGTCTAGTATGTCTCACGGGATTACCGATATCGAATACTGGTGGTACGAAAAAGAGCAAATCCCTTATGATGCCGGTTCTCGGTATCTACTTGACCGTGCAGAAGGCACGACATTCCTCATGGGCTCACCTGTTCTTTGATGTCTTGGTCACGATTGACAGGCCAGCGCAAAGCTACCTGAGGTCCTGGTACGTTGGAAAGAGAGATGGTCGCCTGGTGATAAAAGCGGTGTTGTGTGGTGTGGAACGCTGAGACAGCTTCACCTTGTCAGAGGTGAGTCCCCACAAGGGCTTGGCGATGAGGTAAGGGAGAGAACCGAACGCAGCCAGTATTCGGTTGGCTACATAGGGCTCTGGAGAGCCTATCAACTCCCGAATACGTCGATGGACTGAGAGATCAATGCGTTGACATCGGGACACCAGGCCAGACGTGAAGAAGTACTCACCAGCTCCGACTTGCTCGGCAATGGGAGTTACCTTGACAGGGACTTTGAGATAACACACACCAAGCTTCTCATTCCCCCATCTCGACTCCATAGGCGCGAATT